AGTCTTACCTCGACTAGGCTCATCCTCTTTAATGCTATAAGGAAGGTTTAAGGTAGGTCTCTTTGATTCCTAATGAGGCCAGCTTTTAAATTGCATTCATTGCTTGCCACCCTCACCACCTTCTTGTGTTTGAAGTGGAGTTACCGAAAGGGTTTGATAGGAAATTATACAAAGTTAAAAGTATTAACTTAATAAGTAATAAAACAAAATCTCGTATTATATAATAACGTGAATCCAATGCTTCTTATGGGAATTACGCCTTATGGTATATTCTTTTTGATGTAAGAGTGTGGTTTATCGGCTCGTCAAGGGAAGAATATAGTCAAATAAATGTATACATTGATCGCGATTCTCAAGCATTACTTGAGTTGAATCTCACTGTAACTTCGTATGGTGGATTCACCATTTGGATTCATGATCCTCGACTAATCCAATCATGATTGCTAAATGAGCATTAGAAGAGATTAATACATGTTATTGACATAAGTCAACAAATCTCATTTCTAGGAAGCTCATAGAGATTGAGATCGACAATAGTTTGTCCACCTAAATAACTTCATTTTGTAATTTTCGGCGAATCCACTTTACATCGTGAAGCCAAATATGGATCCTAGCCTTTTGTTTAATAATTTGTAATTGGGTAATTATATTAAAAGGATTTCTTGATCAAAATAATTGTTCTTTTCTTTTTACAGATGTCTTCTGGTGTTGGTGCTACTCTTCCTCCTGCACTAACCACTTCATCAAACTTCTCACTACTCTCACTCTTCTCGCGAGATAAGCTCACTGGTCCTAACTACCTTGATTTGATTCATAACCTGAGGATCACTTTGAGGTATGAAAAGAAGAGTATGTGTTGGACGAGTATCTTGAAGAAGAGCTTCCTGATGAGCTACTAAAGAAGAAGCAGCCAAACATGAAAAGCATCACTATCACTCTATCAAGGTCTCGTGTCTGATGTTGGAAACCATGTATTTTGAACTCCAAAAGAGCTGTGAGAACCTTAGGGCATACCAAATGAACGAGCAGCTTAGGGATATGTTCCAAGAGCAAGCTCGAACTGAGAGATTCAAGGTAATGCAATCAATTATAGGTCGCAAGCAATATAAGGGTGGTTCTGTGAGTACCCATGTTCTAAAGCTGAAAGGGTACTTTGAAAAACTTAAACGTCTTGGCTTCCCATTCACTCAAGAGTTGGCTATTGATGTCATTCTTAACTATTTGACTAGTGTATACAAATAGTTCACTATGAAATACTATATGAATGGTTTGGAAAAGAGTATCATGGAGCTACATGGATGCTGAAGACTACTGAGGAAAGATTTTTTCCACATAGGAACACAAATTCAAACACTCCTATGTTGGATATTAGGCAAAGTGGTGTCAAAAGTAAGAGGTCCTCTCATCCCAATGTCAAGGGAAAAGGGAAAAGGAAAGTGGGTGCTCTCAATTCCAACCTTAATAAGGACGTTTCTAACATACCACCAGTGATTGACCCTAAAGAAGCCATTTACTACTACTGCCAAGAAAAGGACCATTGGAAATGTAGTTACCCTAAGTATTTAGAGGATCTTAAGACGAACAAGGCCAAGGGTATTGGCACTTCAGGTATCTTTATAATTAAATTACATTCAACCTCTACTTCTAACAATTGGATACTTAACACAGGATGTGAAACCCATATTTGTTCTGATGTGCAGGGATTAAGATGAAGTAGGAAGCTAAGGCATGGAGAACTCGATTTGATCATGGGGAACAAGAACGATGTAGCTATTACCAAGATTGGAGATTAAGAGCTTTTATTACCTTCTAGTTTTTTAGTTGTTTTAAAATATTGTTGTTATTCGCCTTACATGGCAAGAAAAATCATTTCATTTCATGCATTGTGGCATGATGGTTTTACTTTTTGATTGTATAATAATGCTAGTCTTTTGGTTTACAAATATAATACTCTTTATTTTAAACCAAATCCTTTCAATGGCATATATGAATCTGTGATTGGTGTAAGTAGAAGCGATAACTTAATCTTAAATGTTGGTTTATCTACTCTGGATAAATCATGTCAATGGCATTGTCGTATTTTCCATATAAACAAGAAGAGAATTGCCAAGCTCTAGTAAGTTGGAATCTTGGAACCATTTAACTTAGAGTTTAATGGAGATTATGAATCTTGTTTACTTGGAAAGATGACTAAGTCTACTTTTAATGATAACTTTAAGAGAGGGACGGATCTGTTGGACATCATCCATATATGAATACTTATATCTACAAAATAATTATGAGATCAAAGTTTATAATTATCAAATATAAAATAAAAGATGTATATTGTGATAGTTATAGGAAATCCCTAGGAAGGATTAAAATAAAAAATAAAAGATAAATACTCAATGTTAATACGTTAGTGAGCTGTTAATTCATTTAAAGGCCTTGATTAACTTCGGCATTCCCCAGATACCTATAATCGTTAATCTTGCGAGAGCTAGAAATATATGTATAGATCTATACGGGGTCTGATAACCCCACCTGCGATTGCTAGCTACAATCCCGACGAGATAACTTTCTTATTATTCACTATTCGACGTCCGATGAAGCGTCGTGGCGGGGCACAATTATTACTCAAACAACGTCGATTATGGGGGCTCATGGTAATACATTAGATCACCTTAGAGTATGACGACCATTATGGATGTCTTAGAATGGTAGATAAAATACGTTAGGATCGTTAAATATCCTACAAAAATAGTAAATTAGGATGAATAAATATATCCTAATAAGATAATAATATATGATCGTTAGATATCCTAAAAGATAGTAAGCTAGGGTCAGGGGCGGATGTAGAGTTTAGCAAGGGTATGCAATTGCATACCCTTAAATTTTTACCAGAAGTATTATTATTTGTTTTAAAGATAGCAATTTTATATCAAAACCTAATGTTGCATTCCCTTCATATAATAGTTGCATACCCTTTTGTATAACCACAACTAATTAGGTTTGAATTTCCGAATGTAAAAAAATCTAAAATTTGAAAGAATTCCCTTATTTCAACATAAGAAAAATAAAAATTTTGAAACAAATTATAATATGACAACTATCAACAAGTACCGATCTTTAGAAGCCTTTCCGTTTCAAAAATTTCCCAGAAAAGGTAAACCAAATTTCAAAATTTAAAGTCTTAAAAAAATCCTAATAAAACATCTGATTCTATAAAAAAAATTTAAATACTTTAGTCGAATATAAAACAGCCATTCATACGCCGCTGTCAAAACTTTTAGAAAATAACAAAACTAAAAGTCTAAAACTAAAAACTAAAAACCCTAACCAATGGAAGTCTTCTCCGCCTCATCGGCCACGTTCATGGTAAAACCGATAAATAGTCCACCGGAAATCGCCGCTCTACGTTGCCCCTCCGGCCGAGTTCGCGGTTCGTCGTCTTCAGTTCTCGACCTCTCGGTATGTGTGCAACTCATTCTTTCTATCCCACATTCTCTCTCCCTGACCTTGGCTCTCTGCCTCTATATTTGATTGTGTAGACATTTTATTCAAGAGTCAAAGACTATTAGATTTTTTTGCAAAGAACTCTCTAGACATATCCAATGTACTCTACTAAAAGATTTTTATATTTATATTTACTAAAAGATTTTTTTATTTATATTTACAGTTGTATACCAATATAAAAAAGTATCGTATTTTATGTGGAAATATAACTGATTACTTATCTTTTGTTAAAGAGAGTTTAAATATGCATACTTTGTAAAGTAATTTTTTTTATTACTGTATACTTTTTAAGCTGTTGATTGTATACATATATTATGATCCGTAACAAAATCATTAACTTAAGGTTTGTTAAAATTATTATGTTTAATTTTGTTGTTAATTTCAGCTAGAGATCAATAGAGTTTTGCAAAGAAAAACATAGGCGTCTCAAATAAATGATGTAAATAATCTTTTTTAAAAGATAAAAACTAGAGAATGATGTCAAATTCTGTTTCGTCCATTAGTTTTAACACAAAAGGTTAGAGTTAAAAAATTTAAATTATAAATATTTGCATACCCTAAATTATTTTTCTAGATCCGCCACTGGCTAGGGTTGATAAAATACTCTAGAAAAGGTTTTTCTAAAAGAAAAATGATTCTTAAAATAATACAACCCAATAAAAGCCGAAAACTATAAAAACCTGTACACTCACCAACATTATGTTGACGTTTGCAAAAATACATGTATTCTCAGGGAGATGAGTGTAAATGATAGTAATGTCAAGGAGGAAGGGGACAATCGTGTCAAGGAGGAAGAGAATAATCGTGTCAAGTAGGAAGACGTCTGCAAGGAAGCTGCTGAAGTTTTGTACCGTCTGTTCATCTCCAATCCAATTAATATTCTTTCTTTTTGATTCCATTACTTTTGATTGCACCAGTCGTAAACTAGTGAGGAATTGAGTGAAAACCGATTTTCAGTGATAAGAATAGAGCGAACTTGAACGCCAAGACTTGTGAGGAATCGATTTGGTTGAAAATCGATAGAAGTCGATTGTCACTATATTCTTTCTCTATGCTACGTGCGAGGTGGAGTACGAGAAGGAGAACTTGAGAAGGGTTACATGACTTACGATCGACAGGCTGTATGTAGCTTTTTTCTATGCGTCGTATACAAGTTATGGGAAACGGACGCAAATGGTTAAAATGTCAAATCATCAAAAAACATTTGATAATTAGAAACTAGATTTGATTTTTTTTTAAATCAGGTCCGGTCGGAACCGGACGAATAGGACCGGTAAAAAAACCGGACCGGTTTTGATCAAATCCTAAAACCGAGAACCGATCCGAGATAAAAATAAAATAAAATAAAAGATCCAAATCCGGTCCACGGTCCAGATGCTCCCCCTAGCTCAAACCCTAAAAATAGCGTAGACCCTGTGGAATAGAATTTTGTAACTAAAATATTAAATTTAACGATTGACGATGAAGATCGATATGAAAAACCGAGTTGATTAGGATAAATTGTTATCGCAAAGGTTTAAAAAATCCACGTGTTGTGTATCCGAGTTAGTCAGACCCTTACTTCGTCTGTAGCTGTATTTCGCCCTCTTCACACAAACCTTTGTTTACATCGCACTCCTCCTCAACGGCGCCATTGACTCTATCACCATAGACCTCCTCACAAAATTCTCATCTTTATTCCAATTTTGATTCTCAAAGTTCTTAGATTCTGTTTGATCCTTTCAAGACGATGCAATTTTGTTGGAATTGGAAGTAGAACAAAGAAATTCAAACCCTAGGACGATGAAGCCATCTTCCGGAGCAATCAATGTAGCTGCCAGCGCACAGAAGATAAATGTCGATAATCGAATTTCTCTCCGTTACTACTACCGGATCGCCGAGAACATTCTTCGCCAGGTCTTTACTTCTCCTCCAAATTTATTTTTTTGATCAACCTACTAATTTTTTATTTATTCATGTCGTTTATCTTAAAAGTTTAATAATCCTCTTACTTATAATAATTGAAGTATTAAATAAGTTCTATGCCCTTAAAGTTGGAACGATGCCTGTTAGATGTGAATTGCTTAGTCTCATTGCTCTGATTAATTCTTTCATGCTGGATGGACTTTCCATGTTCAGTTCAATCACTGGTCACTCAATTGATACATGTAGCGTGCCCTTATAGCTTATGGGGCACTTCACTCGTTCAATCCTCCATCAGAACATTCACTAGTATATACTGAATGTAGTTGTATCTGTGAATGTATGTCTTGTTGTGTCTATTGTGTAGTATACAAATGGGTAGTCATGATATACCTGAAGTATACAGATGACTTGCTACAAAGCACTGCTTTTGTGGAAAGAGAAGAGTTAAGGAATTGGTATCAGTTTTGTTATTAACTTGTTATATAAAGTGGCAAATTAGCTGATAAAGTTAATATTAGTCAAGGTCGAAGCTATTTGAAAAAGGGAAAACCGCACCCTTTGGATATAGCCCACACAGAACCCGCCCTAGGGCCCATCACATAGGTATAGCACTAACAATATTTTAGGCGTCCAGGTTGAAGCTATTTGAATTTCAGGAATGATGTAGCTGACTATACATGATGGGGTTACTACGTGTGGTAAGCTGAGTTTGAATGCATATGTCATGTGATATAAGGGAACCTCATAACTTGGCTTAACATATTGATCAATGTCTTGGGCATAGCTTATTTCGATTTATGGTTTCTTAGGAAATGGAACAACGTACTTGTTAGCCTTACTTTTGATTCTACAATTATGTATTTGACTGTTTGACATGGCTGCAGAGCTTCTGTGCATCTAACATGGATCTTTTACCGGCATCTGCCTTTTACATGGATGCTTGTTTAGCGTAGCTAGTAGCTACAACAACTGTATGCGAGGCTAAAAAATAAACCAGATTGTTGTTGCAGATTGATATGTAAAACATGACATTCCGTAATATCATTAAACCATTGAGATTACATTATTTTTAGTTAGGAAAAAAATTAAGTTAGTAGGGAAAGAGACATTGAAACAAGGAAAAAGTGATGTCTATATTTGGATGAGAATTGGTTAACTAGTTTTTACTTATTAAGCATAATAGGCCCATTACATAACATGCCTAATTATGCAATTATAAGACTAGCTTTACATATGACACATTGAACTTTAATAAAATCACATGCACTAGAATTAAGAAAAGCACATCTATACCTATAGTTGTATCCAAAACGGAGAAGTATCACACATGGCTGGTTCTTCTATGCAAGCACATTGTTCCACCTTTGTGATGCATGAAATAGAAAGACATCATGATGTCATTGCTAGTTCAAGGTCCGAGATTGTATGTGTGGGTCAATGACTGTGTGGCAAAGATTATGGAATACCAATAGTTTTGACACCTTGTAGATAAATAATCCGTGCAAGATGTAATCACCTCCTTGTATCAATCACTTTTGAATGAACCATTTTATAGAAGAACCAATCATGTGCTCTTATTGCTCAAACTTCCATTTGGATTAGTTCTATTTAAACCAAGACCAAGTAGAATATTTTCAAATCTCTGGGCAAAATCTTCAAAATCTTAATCAATATTCCTCCATTGAGGAGAATCATCCATGTGTCTTATATTTCTGTATTTTTTTATGTTTTTCAGCATGCCAACACAATATTTTTGCATCTTTGGCGAATGCAAATAATCAGTTAGGCTTGGTACGATTGGCAGATGCTATAATACCTTAGGAGCGAGGCCATTATTGTTAACCTCCCTTTTGCTTTTAACTTTTAAGTTAAATAATTTCAACATAGCAGATAATTTCGTACACCCAGGACAATGGTTTTTCTGAGAGCTTCCACAATAGCAAAGCTTTTTCATGCCACCTCAACTCTACAAACTAAAAAGCTCAAATTACCATCACAGTAGCAAAGCTTAACCGTTAGAACTTGTAACTAACTGCACAAGCTTTATGAAAAAGCTTCTATTGTGGAGCTTGAAATGAAAAAGCTCTCCAATAACTTATTTGACTTGTTGAGCTCCTATTGTGGATGCTTTGAATCAACAAACAATTGGTATTGTTCTCACATGTGTGCACTTCACACCTCTTGACACATACATGAGCATATCACACTAAAATCATCAACATTGTTTTCTAACATTAACTAAAAAGTACCTAAATCCACATTACCTGAACATTGAGGGTTCTTATTTCTCTTGTTTTACATCTAGATTACTTACATACAATATATATCTTCCACCATCAATATGTTGGGATTTCCATAAACTACCCCCTGCAACTGTATGAAACCACCTGGGGAGGAGGTGTTGTCATCTGGCTTTGAAGAGAAGCATAGAAATAGAATTCAAAAATCTAATTATAGGATTGTTCTATATCATAGAACTTCTGAGCCAATAAGATATTAAGATGCCCAGAATTTTTATGAAAATAGTCTGCAAAGAAAACGAAATTTCCAACATAATTGTTTTTCATTTTATTTCTTCTGAAATAATAAAATCGAATTTCCGTTGACATAAAGTATTTCCATTTTCTGTTTGACTTAAACACTAATGATAAGGAGAAGCAAGGTTACATTCAAGGAAGACATGTCCGATATCCCTAAAATTTATGGTTTCAGATAATAAAGTCTTACATTGGTTTGTTGAGACATATGTGCTGTATTTTCTTCACAATCTAAAACTGTTATTGCAATTCAATATCTGGTCAAAGTAGTTGACCTTGGTTATCTTAGAGTTGTGGCATGCATTCATTTATAATGGTATGGTCACCTTTTATCCGAGCTGTTCTAAACTTTAAGTTATCTGTGCTGCTGCAGGCTGCCATATTCCGAGAAGAGAAGAATATTATCGATCTATATATTATGCTCCTAAGGTTTTCAAGGTAAGAAAATATATTATGATAATATGAATCTTGTATAGGGGGATTCTTGTGGTCATTTTCAGTCATTTCAAGGTCTTCCAATGAATCAGAAATGAAAATATGCTTCTTTTTTGTAGTTTGGCTACAGAAACAATACCATTCCATAGAGATTATCGAGCATCTGTTCAGAGAGACAAGCTTTATCTGAAGAAGGTACAATCCTTTAATTTTTGTTTCCTGACAAGTATTATCAGCAAGTTCATCAGTGTTTCAAATAATTGAATCTCAGAAAATATTGAGTGTCATAACTGAGCTGGAGGGGTTGAAGCCAGCTGTACGAGAAAAGCTTGAAGAGTTATCCAGAAAACATGCATATCAATCAAATGGATGGAGTAATCTTCCTCAAACGAAATTGTTGGAGTCATCAAAATCTTTACCTTCTGTTAGGCAGCAAACTTCACTGAATAGTTATGCCATCAATAAGGTATAATATATGTACCATTTCTTTTCTTCCATCTGCAGTCATTATGCTCTGTTATATCATAGTCCCTTAATTGCACTTATAAGTTATAGCCATAATAATTCTACTGGTTTGTGTTGATAATCTTCATAAAACAACTTTTCGGGTATGATACTTGTATTCATGAGTAATCACAGATATGTATTTTTGACTAGGACAAATTGCATGTAAAAAGGATGTACTTTTAATTTTAATCAATTATTATTTTAGGGAGCTTACCCAAAAATCAACGTTTAAGGGCCTATGGTGTAAATTTATAATCAAGTAAGGAACCAGGTTTACCAAATAAGGAAGTCAAATTCCTATTGGTGTAAACATTTGAAAATCTGATGATTATTTAGATTTTAGAACCTGTATCTTCCAAAGGCTATATAATAGCAATTTGATAGAAACAAAATTTTCTATGATAAAGTACCAGGCACCACAGGTACAGGTTAATAATGTTAATGGGGGGTATGGCTATCAAGATACTCGGATGCAGTTGTATTCACCTGCTAATACTCTGGAAGAGCAAACTAGGCAATTGTAAGTGTTCTTTTCAATTTGTTATGTACTTCATATCCCCTCCCCCTCTCTTTCTTTCTCTATAATATAAGAAAATAAAGTATTGATGTGGAGAATCCGTGTGAAGTATAGGATGCCAACTCAGCATGTCTACCGACAGAATGAATGGGATAAAAATTAATGACTAAATTGAAACTTTAGGGATTTTTACTGTGTACTATTAGAAGATGGTTATTGCAATTAGTTGGTTCCTAATTATGTGGAGGACAAATAAATCTGATATTTCATACCCTTTGGCATGTATTTCACCCAAGGGATCCTCGTAAAAAGAGATGTTGTTTTTTTTTGAAATTATCAGGTCCTTGGTTAGAATTGATGGTTGTTGTTTTTTTGCATGCTATGCTATCCTCACACAAACTACTGAATTTGGTTTTCTTTCTGCTTTAGTTCTCTAAATATTCCTCGTGCAAGGGAAGAAACTCTCTCTAGACATTCTATTTTGGGCCCGAATGGACTTCGTGGGCAACGCCCAGCTCCTACCTTCAATGTTGCGGTAACTTCATTTTCTTTTTGGATTGGTCTAAATGCATAGCATTAGCATCTTACTTTCATTTCTTTCTATTAAAGCATTGTACTTTCATTTTTTTTCTTCCTATTATTGCATCGTACTTTGAAAAATCTACTCAATTATAGCAGTAAATATCATGTCTTTGCATGACATTACTATAATTGGGTAGTACGATGTTATAATAGGAAAAGAAAAGTAGGATGCTATAATAAACAAATAAATATAAAAGTACGTTGTTATTTGTTCATGTAACCTTTTTTTTTGATTCAGTAACATGGAGTGCTTATACTCTTATATGTATCTCAGGTTCGTTATCCAAGCAATATAGATTTGTCACCAGTGGAAATCCCAAGGTTGGTTTCCTTGTAAACTCCATTCCACTATTGCTATTGTAATCTTGGCCCAATATTATAGGGCTGAACACTAGAAATGGCAACATAATTTCATTTATCTGTGTATTATAGCATCCTACTTTCATTTCTTACTATTACAACACTGTACATACTATTTTATTGCTTACTAAGGCTTTTTATTTCAAAAAGTCCACCCAGTTACATCCTTGTACTTTCAATTTTTTTTGTTCTAATTAAGGCAATTTTGGAAAAGCATACCCAGTTATAGCATTGTACTTCTTATTGGGACATTATGCTTCGGAAATCTACACAGTTATGGCAATGAAAATTGTTTTGAGTTTTTCAAAGTAGAAGGCTGTAATAGGAAGAGATGTAAGTAGGATGCTATAGTTAACAAATCAAGGAAAACACTTTGTTATTTCTTGTATTTGCCCTAATGATCTATAACTAGAACTAATATGATTTTTGTTTTTCATGATGTACTAATAATTTTTTTTTTGTTATTTTGATGTTGCAAGGGAGAAGAAGCTTCATTTGTTGGAGAATGGTGCTTCGGTTGAAAAAATTAGCAGCAACTTAGAACATGCAAAACCAAGTGTAGAATCAACTATTATACCAAAAAACAACAATCAGCCTCATATTAATGAACTGGATTCCTTGATTTCTTTTGATGAAAAACCAGAAACCCCCCCTATTCAGATGGACATTATAAGACAGCCCTCCCCACCTCCTGTTTTAGCTGAGGTCCAAGATTTGATTCCCACAGCATCACCTCCGGTCACTGATGCAGGGCCTGGTTCCTTAAATTCTACTGATGGTGTCGTTGTTTCTGAATCCCCCCTCGAGTTACACATTGTGAGATATTCCATCTTTCTACTTTTCATTTCCATTAAGGGTTACGCATCTATGCAAATTTTTATCGTTTTCCCAGTTTATTGCAACAAAATAACATTTTACACAAATTGCATCTATGCAAATTTTTATCGTTTTCCCAGTTTATTGCAACAAAATAACATTTTACACAAATTATGTAGCCATATTTCATTCTAGGACCAAAATGTGCAACATTGTAACTGCAAACAGTTACAATGTTGGACTTTTTTTTTACTAATTTATGCAACCACATTTCACATGATTTTCAATTTATACAGCCATGTTTCAACATTGAAATGTCATTGCGTAATTTTGTATAAAAACCACTTTGTTGCTTAAAATAGGAAAAATGTGAAGTGTTTTTGCATAAATGTGGATTTAATCATTTTCAAATAATATTAATTTGAGATTTTGTGAGTACATAATTGCTTAACAGGTTAGTTACCTAATGACATGGCACTGGTTAAATGTTTATTTATGCAACAATGGTTCAACTTTTTACCAATTCATGCAACAAACAATGTTCCATTTTTAAACAATTTATGCAACATTCCTTCACATTATTCCCAATTATGCAACCTTGTTTCAACACGTAAGAAATTGCATCTTTTGGTCCTTAATATTTCGTATTAAAAACCATTTTGTTGCATAAATGTTAATGGTACCCTTTTCACATAATAGGGTGAAATGCCCATTTTTGCAATAATATTTCACCTTCTTCCCAGTTTCTGCAACAAAGGGGTTTTTCTAGACCACGAAATATGTAGCAATGTATGCAACAATTTTTCACATATTTTTACCAATATATGCAACCATGTTTTAACGGGTTAAACACGTAACTGGTAAAAGTAAAACATTACATCTTTTGGAAAAACTATGTTTTGCATGAAATGTGAGAAAGGAGAAACAGTGAAGGCAAATTCATAATTTTAGATATGCAAATTTATAATTGCTTAGTTGAAGGCAAAAACACTAACTATATCATCTTTGGCAGTCCACGAAATTGATGGACAATTTCATGAAGATGGCAAAGTCAAATACAGACAAAAACTTAGAGACATGTGGTATTCTTGCTGGTTCACTAGTACGTGACGTGACACACTAATTTTCACTGTTTCTATTTCTCCTTTCGATATATACATCATCTAATTTCTAATTTTTTTTTTCTTGCTTGTTAGAAAAACCGAAAATTCTATGTTACAGCACTCATCATTCCAAAGCAAGAAGCCACAACAGACTCGGTAAACTTTCATCACCTTGTTTCTACAGATTCCCGAAATACCCTTTTTAAACTCTATGATGAACATACTTGTATGATGTTGTTTCTGGATAAAGTTAATGTTACTAATATGTATAGTTAACTATAAATTCTCATAACTACATTCCAAATCTTTTGACATGAGACTTTTTGATACAGTGTCAGGCTACAAATGAGGAGGAAATATTTGAAGTGCAGGACAAAAGATCGTTATTCCCCCTTGGATGGATACACGTGAGTCATAATTATAGATATATCCATGTCCATCATGTATGATAATATAGACAATTCATATCCATGTTACATCATTAGTTTGTAATTATAGTCATATCTTTCGCATGAATGATTGGATTGTAGTACATGAAGGTCTGTCTATGATGATGGGTAATACAATTTATTTGAATAGAGGGTTGGATGCAAGAAAGAGCAACCTACTTCCATTTGTTTGTTTCTTACTGAGTCCTGCTTTTGTTTCTTCCTATTATAATATTTTCATTGTACTTTGAAAAATCTACCCAATTATAATAATTTCATTCAAATACAAAGTAATTTTTACTGCTGTAGTTGGCAGACTTTCAATGTATAATAATTGTCCTAATAAGAAAAGAAAAAAACTGAGTATAATGAATGCTATACGTCCGTAGAGTTTTCCAATTATAATGTGTTAATAAAAAGAAAATTGAAAATACAATGCTGGTTATAAAGAAATAAATGAAAGCGTGTTGCATTTAGCCCCTGACTCAGCTCTATTTTACCCCTAACATAACATGTTTCATGTTCTTGTCAAGAAAAAACATGTTCCATGTTATAATCATTTTCTTCAATTATTTGATCCCTTTTTCATTATTAAATATCATATAGAAATCCATTTTTATCGACTTCTTGCATCATATTATTGCAGACACATCCAACACAATCTTGTTTCATGTCATCAATTGATGTTCATACACACTATGCATATCAGGTAACCTTCTCTCCCTCCAATCTTCCTTCCTTCTTGTATTAATTTATGAAACCTGCAGTATAGACTATAAAAAGAAGGATTAAATGCAAGAAAATAGCAATATCTTTTTTGATTTGTTTATCATATCATTTCTTCCTATTACAGATTATGTTGCCTGAGGCCATCGCAATTGTCATGGCACCAAGAGATAGTTCAAGGTATTCATCTGCATCATTTCATAATAGGAACGTGCTTATATTAATAATAATAAAAGTAATGCATTTATATATTTTTTTCATCTATAATAGCAGTGTACTTACATTTTGCTAACAATATGGATAGTGTACTTTATTTGTTACATATTGCTATTATTAGTAAATAAATATATAAGTACGCTTCTATTATGTGCAAGGAATTGTAAGCACAGTGCTATTATTATATGTAAAGAAATGTAAGTCATTACTATTATAAGCTACATTTGGCTATCGTTCATAAACATATAAGTACATTGCTATTTTGGGTAAAGAGAAAAAGTACATTTTCTATGTTTGTAAGAACTAAGAAGAGTAATTTTCCTGAAATTTATCTAAACAATAACACCAATATTCTATAACAATCAAAAATAGAAAATATGTTGATTGTATTTTGCTATTTTGTGTAAATATTGTTATGGGCAACTTATTGCTATTATTAGTTAAACTTTAAGTATGTTGCTATTATTCATTATGTACAGCTTATTCCTAATTCCCAATTTACCCTTGTGTTTACAGAAAGCACGGCATTTTCCGCTTGACAACACCTGGCGGTATGGGAGTGATTAGAAGTTGTCCGCATCGAGGTTTCCATGCACACGATGCACCGTCAGATGGCAGTCCGATTTATAAACAATGTACAGATGTTTATATCGACCCCAAGTTGAAGTTTGATGTTATTGATTTGCGGTGATGTTTGATGGATTTACACCAAAGGGTATAATAGTCCATTCAGATACAAATACTTTGTATATTCTGCCAAAAAAAAAAAAAAATACAAAGAAATGTTTCCATTTATATTCTGAAAATTGAAACTAGAGTGGTTGTTTTTCTTCTTTGGGTGAAAAACTTGATAATTTTTCTAAACAATTTGAAAAAGAAATGGACTCTGAAGAAACATGTAATTTGCCATTAGGACATTATATATTGCATTTTTTTTTTGCAGGTTTGAAATATTGTCATTGTTTGGATTAATTATTGAAAAAAAATTATGATACCCAAGTATAGTAGGTTGAAATTTTGTAAAAATGAAGTGTCAAAGTACAAAACTTTGCTATTCAAGGTTCTGATTATCACATCCTCTATTCAATACATCCCAATCTTGAACATTATCTTATTTTATGTGGATGATAACTTAGTTTTTGATTAAAAGCAATATTTTCATCAAATACTAAGTTGATTTTAAATTTGGATTATGAAATAACAGAAAATTACTAGCAGACATTTGATGTTAATTTTTACGAGGTTTATGAGTAATAAGAACAAATATAGGAATCTTCTTTATAAATCATATAATAAAATGTCATCCAGATGAAATAGTTTCATATTCTTATATCATATTCAATTATAACTTTTATAACCATTGGACTTTCAACCAATTAATAATAGCCACTCACTGAGTTTTAAACCTATATATTGCTATTGTTATTAAAATTCAAGTTAAAATTAAGGGTTTTGAGTTGATTGACCACCGAAGTTTTAGATAAGTCACCATTTGGTCATGTAAGTTCAAATCTTGATAATTAAACTCTTAAAGTCTCAAAATCGTTACTATTTAGCCATTGTGGTAGGTTTAGTATGTTGGTGATTTTTGTGTAACTAGGCATTTTGTGTAATTAGAACTAATATACGAGCTAAGGAGTTTATAATTTGTACTCTATATTATATGTCTAGTGTGTGCGGAGTGCACGCATATATAAGATCGAATTATAAGTTGGTATGACAAATTGGCGGGGGTCAAGGGGTCGTGTCCCCTTGCAGGATCCTAGGAGTAACATTATAGTGGGGTCCAAGGGACAGAACCCCTGGTGGTGAGTTATGATCATAGTGGAGAATCCGAATTCAAATGGATGATTATGGTAAAATTGGCAAATCTCGTCAGTTTTACAAACCATTGATCATGCTATTAATTCCCGAATTACTTGACTAATTCAGAAGATGAAAACCCTAATTGTTAAGTATAAATACAACTCTTTTTATGAGTCGTCAGACCCTTCTTTTTCTCTGAACAACTTAGAATTCTTCTATCAATTTAACATACATTTTTGTACCTAGAATTGTAAGTGTCCATTTGGATTATCCTAGACTGGATTTCTTGTAACCCAAGCATAGGGTAGAAATATCAATTCGAAAAGCAAACCTACACGGTCCATTGGGAATTCGAATTTCCACCATAAACCCTTCTATACCCTAACAATCGAACTAATATTTCTATCTGGTGGAGATGGTTGATTCAATCCGCAAGTTGACTACGAAGTTTAGCAAAATGGAGAAGTTTGAAGGCAATGATTTCAAGTGTTGGCAGAAGAATATGCACTTCATGTCGACCACGCTGAAAGCATCATATGTGCTGAGTACTTCGAGGCCAAAGGTTGTTGAAAACGAGACATTGAAAGAGACCAGGAAGATAAGCAAGTGGGACAACAGTGAATACAATTGTAGAGGACATATTTTTAATGGTATGTCGGATTCCTTATTCGATATCCATGGTGATGCTAAAAGTGCGAATGAATTGTGCGAAACCCTTGAATCAAATTACATCACTAAGGATGCTTCTATTAAGAGAATTCTGGTTAGTGACTTAAATAACTATAAAATGGTTGATTCAAGGTATGTCATGGAACAATACAATGAGCTCCTTCGCATGTCATTCAAACTACACAAAGTGAATATGGATGAATCCGATGTTGCGTCAAGTTTAATTGACAAACTTCCACCATCATGGAAAGACTTTAAACGTAACTTGAAACATCAAAAGATATCTATGGTTCAACTTGCTACTCATTTGTACATTCAAGAATCCATTTGTGCATAAGAGAATGAAAAAAACAAAGGGAAAGTTGAACTTGGACGACCCTCTGTTCATATGGTTGAAGACAAACCAAGGAACCCAAATAACAAGGGACATAGAAAGAAACGTAAGCAAGATTATGTCCCAAATAACTCCAACAAAAAGAAAAAGGAAACTGGTTTGTTGGAGGTGCTTCAAGATGGGGCATTGCAAGCATGATTGTTGTGTGAATCTAGGCAACAATGGTGTTGGTAACAATGGTGCTAATGGAAGTGGAAAAGGGTCTAAGGACTAGGTTAAAAGAGGTCGGTATTTGACTAACTTTGATAATTCTAAACAAAATTATGTTTATTATGTTTCACTAATTCCTGAATCATTCTATATACATGATGATGATGTTGCTTGGTGGATTGGCGCCTGAGCAATCAACCATGTATGCAATGCTGAATGGTTGTTTGAAACATTAACACCGCTTAATGGTGGATTGGTGCTATGTATGAGAGACGATTCTTTTAAACTTATTTTTGGTGTTGGTGTCGTTTTTCTTGAGTTTACTTCTAGAAAGATTGTTAGACTCTTTGATGTTTTGTTTTTTCTCAAGATTCAAAAGAATATTGTTAGTGGCAATTGTTTGAATTTTGATGGTTTTAGACAAGTTAATGAATCAGATAGGTATATCCTATTTCAAGATGGACTGTTACTGGTTTTGGATATTCGAATAATAGAATAATTCGTTTGAATGTTATTAATAAGTTATTACCTGTTCAAAATTCCGCTTTTATGTCATCTTCTTCTAAAATCGACAACTATGTTGTGGCATGCAATATTAGATCATCTCAATTTTAGAAGGATGCATGAAATGTCAAAGGATGGTCTCATTCCAACTTTTGACATGAATTTGGATAAATGCAAAACATACATGCTTACAAAAGTAACAAAACAACCTTTTTCTAGTGTTACTAGATATTCGACTATTTTGGAACTTGTACACAGTGAATGTGTGATTTCACTCCACTCATTCCTTGGGAAATAAAAAATATGTGGTCAAATTTATTGATGATTGTACTTGTTTTTTCTATGTGTATTTTGATTAATGCTAAAAACAAAGCATTGGAAAAGTTCGTTTTAGAACTGATAGGGGAGGGGAATATATGGATCCCATATACTTCCAATCATTATGTATCATTCACGAAACTGCAGTACCTTACTTGCCCCAACAAAATAGAATTTCCGAACATAAAAATTAAGTTTAAAAACAAATGGTAAAATCGATTTTTCCAATGCTAAACTTGGGTGTTGTCTGATTTGTCGAACATAAAAATTGAAAATCCATTTCCAACGTAAAAATCAAGTTTACCATTTCATTTTGAATGTCATCAATTCTTGAAAATAACACTTGGGTGTTATCTGATTTGTCTTTAGGTTCTAAACCATGTGGTTGTAAATGGATTTTAAAAATGAAAATGAATGTTGATGGGACTATTGACAAGTACAATGTCTATTTGATCTTTTAGACAAAAAGCTGATGCTGACTGTTTTGATATGTATGCTCCGATTTCGATTGCATGTATTTATACTATTAGATTGTTAATTGACTTGGTAAGTATTAAAATTTTGATTATTCATCAAATGGATATTAAAACAACCCTCTAAATGGTGAACTTGATGAAGAAGTTTACATGAAATAAGTAGAAGGTTTCGGTATGCTCGATAAAGAGCATATATAAACAGGTAAAATCTTTGTATGGGTTGAAACAAGCACCAAAAAAATGACATCAAAAGTTTGATGAGGTTATTTGCCCTCTGGTTTTAATTTTAACTAATATGACAAATGTGTTTATAGTAGATTTAATGATGCTACTGTTTAGTACTGACCAAGATCTAGTAGATGAAACTAAGCAATTCATGTCATCTAAATTTCCATGAAAGACATAGGAGAGTGATGTAATTCTTGGAATAAGAATTAAGCAGGTGAACAAATGCACAGTAATGACTCAAAGTCATTATGTTGAGAAAAATTCTCAAACGGTTTAACTTTAGTGATTGTTCTCATGTGAGCACTCCTATGGATTCCAATGTGAAATTAATGCCAAATAGTAGCATTCCTATTTCGCAATTGGAGTACTCTAAGGTTATTAGTAGCTTGATGTGTGCAATGACAAGTACCATGCTTGATATTTCTTTTGTTGTGGGAAAGTTAAGCCAATACACTAGTAATCCTAGTGTTCAACATTGACAAGCAATTCATAGAGTATTTAAGTATATCACGGGGAACATAGACTATGGCTTGAGTTACTTCGGATATCCTTTAGTTTTAGAGGGTCATTTGGATACAAGTTTGATAACCAATATGGAGGACCATTCCTCTATTACTGGTTGGGTACTATTTCTTGAGGGAGGTGCCATTTCCTAGGCTTCTAAAATTAAAACTTGCATTACAAACTCAACAATGGAATATGAGTTTGTTGCATTAGCTTCTGGTGAAGTAGTAGAGTGGCTAAAGAAATTAGTCTATGATATTTTTGACAATCGGTAAAATTAGGTCATTATTCACCGGACTAAGTCACAGTGAACACACTATGTAATATACCTAATGTATTAGATTCCATACTTTTTAATGCAATTGATGTTTTTACACTTGGAAATGCATACATAATAACACTCAAGTCTTTGATGGATATAGATCATTGACAAGCAAACACTATTCACTATACATAAGTAATGGTTTGATACATTGAAACAAGAATTATGTATTAAGTATTTTTATGTACAAATGACACTCTAAATAGATAAAACATGAAAACACGATTATGTGGATATAAAGAATGGCCAAAATAGAGACCGTATGCTAAAGTTATGACCATTTTAAAGAAAAATCAGTAATATAACTGATTTTCTCGTAAACAAACTTTAAAACGACTTGTAGAGATAGCTACACATTTCGTTAAGTGTTTTAGAGCACATTTTTGGACTCGGACACTACTCTAATATCACGAAGTTATAACGCTTTAACGAAAACAATCGAATCACAACAACTGGAAAAATACTGAATAACGACTTCGAACGTGTTTTTGACATAGTTACGCCTTTCGTTAGAAATTTCGTTTACATATTCCGAACCGTCATTTCCGGGACATCGAACTAGTGTTTTTAGAAAATTTGAGAGATTTTGTTTTTCGTCGGTTTATGTCAGACGATTGCACACGGATCGA